ATGTAACAATTATTTTGTACGTTTTAAATATATACATACTGATCGAAGAAATAAGTAACTATAATCAACATTAAATTTGTGACAGTTTTTTTTTGCTTTTTGAAGTACCGTATAAAGTATTTTTTTATGTAAATTTAAAATGTAGTTGTAAGGAATCTATAAATTTATAAATAGCCTTTATATGCTCAAATATTCTGCATACTTTTTAAATATTATATTACTATAAGAATTAAGAGAAGTTTTCGAAAAATGTTTAAATTCAAGAATATTATATTTTTAAAAATGAAGTCATTATTGCAGTTCAATAATTGCTTTAGCATTGTCAAGCTTCCAGTATTTCCAAATTACGACACATTAAAAAAGAATTGATTTGGCGCCAGGAACTGTACTAGAGACATAATGTATTTAATCGAAGTAATACAGTCTTCAAATAAAATATGAAATTGTTACTGTGCGAAAAAAATAAACATTCCTCTGTCATGAAAAAACAAATCAGACGTGTCTTATTTATCAACATTAATCTCCCGTACCGTTCCTGATGAATACATTATTTTAATGAAAACAAATATTAAGGATTTCGTAAAAGATTTTATTAACAGATTTTACCTTAAAATTTTTTACTGTTAGACAAAAATTTGTATATTTTATAAATTAATTAAACGTACAAATAACACTGTTAATTATTATTATTGAGATTCAAGAGCTCATAGGAAAAAATACTTAATGTAATCATTAATTTAAGTAATTGTAATTATTATTTCTTCCTTTAAAGGTGTAACTACTGAGGAAGGTGTGTTGAGCCTGGACAGTACAGTGCCTGACACGAAAGAGGAGTTTGACCAATATGGCTATGTACTTGCACAAAAAATAAATCAGTTTGCAAAGCATTCTGAATTCCCTCCATTTGCAGAAGAACTTGTTAAAATAATCGCCCTAAACTGTAAGTACATTCACTTTTTAATTAAATGTAATATGCAATAGTTTATTATAATATTCTATCCATATCAGTATAACAATATTTTTAGTCACATTTAATTTGTAAATTGGATAACAAAAACTTTTAATAATCAGGTACTTTCTTTGTTCGCTATTCTTCCATAAACATGAAACGGATATTTGTTACTTTGTTTCTGATTATACTTTGTGTATTATTTCCAGTATCTTCAATAAATTTGAAGAAAGTGAAAACAATGATCGATAATCTGTTGATCGAAAAACAGAAGGTCGAGAAAGGCGACAAGGCGAAAAAGAACAAGGGCAAGGGAAAAGCGAAACTGAATATCGAGGGTGAAAACACTCTTTTGAGCGAATACGGCGACTATGTTTACGATGATTACAACGATTTCATGTAGCGACCTTTTCATCCCATATTCTTATTATTCCCCATCCCCTTTTCTAGTCGCCTAAATACACGCAGATGGTTATTAACATTTTTGCAGATTTTATATCCTTTATTCTCTCTCTTTCTCTCTCTCTTTTTTTCTCTTTTCCACTGTATACATAATACGAACCCCTAACTTCGTAAATTACTATTGTTGGTTTATGGTTACGATTTTGAAATGTTTTCCTTTAGAATCCCTTATTGTATACATACAGATATTATATATTATATATATATAATATACACATACACACACATACATACATACATACATATGTAGTAAAGATTAACGTATCATCTGACGGATATAAAAAGATCTTAACACGAAGTGTTAATGTGCGTTTCAAGTACGAGTGACAGAATTGATTGATAACTCACCGATCGATTAAAAGTGTCAATAATCCCAGAAACTAAGTAACACTAGCAAAGAACACTTAATTAAATCTACTCACGCGTTTACTGTATCAATGTATAAAACAATCTAAGTTTTGTGAACTGTGTTAAGAAAAACATTCGAAGTTAAAAGACACTGTAAACAGGAAGGCACGAACACGACCTTCAGAACGCGGGCGTTGTGGAACAATTAAACCGTCGCATCGGTTTCGCTAAGATTTTGAGATCAAAGGATCTACAGTTTTGAAACCTACTTCCTGCGCATGCGTAAACAATCGTCTTGATGCGAGGAACTGTACACGGTAGTTCCTTATAGTTTTATGTATATTTACATATACAGCGCGTATGTTTGCGATATCTACCAATGTTTAAATAATACTATATAAAACAAAGTAACGTACTTTATTCTAGGAATTGTTGGAAATCCTTACCTAGTAAATATTAAGCATAATTATTGAACAAGATCATAAGTAATTGAATTATACTTTATTAAACATTTTGGTACATATAATTTTTCACAGAAGAGGGATGCATAGTGGAAATTGAAAAAAAGTTTAGTTAAAAAGTTTCTTTTGAATGTGGACGAAGTTTTTTTGCGTTTATATATTTATCGTCGAGTTTCTTAACTTNACTTTATTAAACATTTTGGTACATATAATTTTTCACAGAAGAGGGATGCATAGTGGAAATTGAAAAAAAGTTTAGTTAAAAAGTTTCTTTTGAATGTGGACGAAGTTTTTTTGCGTTTATATATTTATCGTCGAGTTTCTTAACTT